ATGTTGACTATTTGTTGCCTTTGTTTCTTTCTTACTTTGGGGAAAAAAAAAGTTGTCATTTCGTAGTGAACGGTACTAGCTTCCGAATGTCTCTAAAGGGGTAGGAGGCAATACCGGGTGGGGTTTTCTCAAATTCCGTACCGTTCACTCCGACACGAGGTGCGGAGAACTCCATGTCGTATAAATATTTCTTCAAAGAGTTTACACTGGTCTCACTCTTAACGTAACACTAGTCTATAAACATATACCGGATTAAACTGACACTAAAGAAACAGACAAAAACACAGCGAGACGTCTTCGTGGTTTGTGAAAGAAGCTCTGCTGAGGAGAGGGCGGATCCAGACATGGAGTAACCTTGTTACGATATGAAGGTGGCGCGTGGTTAACCTTGGATCTGTAGAGCGAGTGAATGGTTTTTCCTGTAAGTAGCTTCGCACTACATATGAGTACCGTACAATAATTGGAATGTGGAGTGGATAGATTCCACGTAACCGCTTGGAAGGACAATCACCACGTCTGTTCTTAGGAGGAACCTGCGTAACGGCTGACCACTGTACTGATGAAGTTATGTTTTCGATACCGGGCCTACCTCTTGTCAAGGTTCACTAATCCCGTGAACATTACTACTCCCGGCGATCCCTGTAATGAAGTCTTATGGCAATGTATTTACACTTGTGAGAGTGTGTTGGTTAACTTTGGTTTATTAAATGTTGGTATACATGTTGTTAGAGAGTTATATGTTTATACTTTTGGTCAGTCTGTTGTACTTATTTTTTTTCAGTTATTATATATTATCTATTGCTGAGTATATGTACGACTATCTTATGTGTTGTGATTTGCGAGACTGTGTGCGGATATTTTTTTGTATATTGACTACCCTCTTCGCATAAGTTCACACACACTACGCATAGTGTACACATATTCTTCACCAAATCTGTATCATGATGTGTGTTTTTTTTCATATTTACACTTTATTTGATATACTCTATAAGTACACACACGGATGGCCATTCGTAAAGGTGATACACGATGGTGTTGTATGGGGGGACTCGGGCGAGAGAGGAGGAGGTATACGAAGGGACAGGAATAGCGACCAGAAGAGGCAACACACGAGCAGCGCGGCAGAATACGGGGACAGGGATGAGACACTTGCCATAGAATACTTATACAGTATCGACGGAGTATGAACACAGCATAAGTTCTTAGAGCAGAGCGACTCGTAGGGCGAGTGGACGCTTAAGTGGAAGCGCGAACGTAGAAGAGGGTCACTTTATGTACAAGAGAAAAAGATGGATTTCTGTATAGGACTACTGACTGTAAATGATCGACAAACATTTGTTATTTTTGTATTTTTTTAGTAAACTCTGAGTATAAAAGAATTACGTATCTCAGTTTCAAAGTATAACCTATACCTAATTCTAAAAACTTCCAAAACCCAGAGATAGATGAAAGAACATAATATGGAATAACAATCTTATAAAATTATCGTGGTTACACTAAATTCATCTAAAAAGTGTATAATTCTTTCTTACATGAATTTAGAATTAGAAATAGACTGTTACATGACGAATTTCACTTCGACGGTGGCCTAAATTCCTATACAACGATTGTATGTTGGTGTTTATCTAAAACCCCTAGTTTCGTCAGCTAATTGGTACGACTTAATGTTCTGTGAACAGAGGAATATCTAATATTAAGAATTTCTTATATACGAACGAAGTTAAGTTTAAATGAATTAAAACCAAATTTTGTGAACAAAATTCTATAGACATCTAGAAATCCAGATTAAGATAAATGACCAAAATCTTCCGAGACGTTCACCTTAAAAAGAACGACAGACAAACACGTCTATAAAAAGAATAAAATCACTGTATATAATGAGTAAATGATGATACAATAAAAAGAGACAAAACTCACGAATCAAAAGCGTCACATCACAGCGACAAATCAGAACCTGGGTGACAGTCAAGTCATGTCATAATACAACGTGAACAATTACCAGACAAGTCTACATATGGGATATGCGTCTTTTGTAACCACGTTTGTGAAGTGAAAAATTACACAATGTCATACGGAATCTTTTCACTTATAAAAACATTCAAAATGAATCTAAGGGTAAATCTACTACAAACT